GTCTCTCTCTTTCTCTCTCTCTATCTCCTCCTCACACGTCATCCCCTCAAACTCCAAACACAAAGTAAACTCCTTCCTCCCGACCCCACGTTTTACTCCCTCTTATCCATCCCCTCCCCCTTCACAACCTGCCCCCCTCCTACCATCCCTCTCATTACCTCCTTCTCCCTCCCTTCTCATCATCTCTCCACCTCTCCCCCTCCATCACTTTCAAAAGCCAAACCCATGACCTGCCTGGCCCTCTCTCCTGAAATCACTCAACCCCCCTTTTTTTTTATGCGTGCCTTTAGCGACTTCATCGCCTTCAAACACCAAACGTATGGCGTTCTACCCACAAACTTATGACGTACTCGCACTCACCAAGTTCGAAAAAAACCCCAACATCTCACATTGCCTTCCCACGACTACCACCACTCTAGCCCATGTCCTCACCTTTTTGCAGCACATTCTATCTGGTCAAGGCACAGAGCGTAGCAGTAATTACTGTTTGGGCCCGGGAAAAACGGCCACTTGACCGCTACCTCTGCGCGTGGTAGTCATTTAGTCTCCCAGATTGATACACGAGGCAATTGCTGCTGCACTCTTACCACTCGCACTTGGGAGTCCATTACCCTCCCGAATGGGGCTGGCTTTCCTCTAGATTTGGCTGTTTTTTGGGGAGGTGGAGGGCGCTTGCCTGGTCAATAGGGGAGGAGTTATGGCGGTCAGAAAGAGAGCATAGGTTTGCAGGGCATTATATAACGCGCAACTAGCTTAGAACTTTTCAACCTACCATCCATCTCTCGGTAGTTTGAGTTATTTTTGCTTGTTTGTTTGTTTGTTAGTGTTTTTTTGGTTGGGTAGGGGGGGTTGAATTTTTGAGTATTTATTTTTTTTTAAATTGATTGAGTTTAAATAAAGAATCCTGACGACCGTTGTGCACCAAAGGAGGGTTGGGGTGTAAACAAAATGATGTTCTATCCGTTGTGTGCATGACACGAAATGACATATGAGATAACCAATAAAAGAATGTTTATTTTTAATGCAAGATGGTGGTCAATAACTTATATCCAGAAAAACTTTTTTCTCCAAGCCCGCCAATTGTACAGCGTTGTGTGCATTTAAACAATGGGGCCTTTTTAAAGGAGTTGAGAGCATACTAATATATATATAT